TGGGTTGAAGTTGCGCACTTTTTCTGTTCAACTTCGCGATTTTTTTAAAAAGAGTCTAGTTAAAAAAATGAAAAAGTGGCTCTATAGCACCCTGTGGAGTTTTGTTTTCAGCACACTGTGAAAATTTCATCCAAAAATATCAAAAAATAACGCGTCAATTTCGAGGCGCACAAACCTCTACAAATTGTATTTTGGACGAATTTTGTCTACTGTTTCGTGCTGCCAACCCAAGCGCAATGTTATTTTTATGCTGCAAATTTGATTAGGGAACGATAAAGTTGGTGTTTTCTACTATATATGATCAAAATATTCATTGTTAATATTTTAAACCTATAAAACCCTGCTACATTTTTATTATTTGTGTTTGATAAGAAAGGGGCTCGTAGTCTTGTAAAACACATAATACTTCATTTTCAAAATGTTTCGCGATTACAATACTTCCTCCCCTGTAGGCGTGGAAATTAAAACAAAAATGAGATCAGATTTGTTTTCGCGTAACTCAAGAATGGATTTACGATTTATATTCATGAATGGAAAATTTACTCGGTACATATAATAATGGGAACCCTTTGTAACGTTATTTAACAAAAGCTTTTCTACGTGTTACCATTGATTCTAGAAAAGTAAACAATAAACAAATCAAACATAATAGGCAATAATTAGCGTATATATAATTGCATATTTTATTGTTATGAATAATAAAATTGAAGCGAATACCGCGAAATAACAAAGATTTTTTGAAATGTTTACAGCGCAGTAATGCATACTATCCGATTACTAATACTCAGACATGTTCGTCATACTAGCGAAGGATACAATGTTTATAATATGAAAGGTTTGTTGAAATTTTTACAATTACTGTCACCGACATATCAAGTCCTAGGTCACTGATTGACGCTGTGGTCAAGAAACGATAGTAACTGTTATAGTTATTTAACGGGGCTGCTACAATAACGAGCACCATCTGCTGAGGTAACGGGGGGGTGAAAAGGGAACGAGGGTGGGCTGGCCTTAGACTGTCGTCGGCGCTACTTTAAAAGAGGAAAGGATGATTGCCGGTGCATACCGAGGTAAATTTTTATAATAACAGAATCGGATTTCGATTAGCGATCTAGAATGTAAATCGTTTCTTGTTTTGGTACTCGGCAAGTGATCATTTAGTATTGTTCCCTGTACCCAGCGGCCTCTATATATGTATGTGGTCTAAATACATTTGCGTTCTAAGCTTAGTCAAACCTCGCTTATCGCTAAGATGGAACAAAGACTCAAACGCAAGAATCTTGAAATGAAACTCAGACCAAAAAAAGCAGATATAAAAATAACTAACAATTCGGATAGCAATTCCAAAGGAAATGAATAGTTTTATGGCGAATTCAATCGAAAACCTGACATTAACTACATTGATTTGGAGGTTGCTAAACGAAAATTTTTAGGGAAACTTAAAAAAGTGACGACGGACCCTTGTAAATGGCTTGAAACTCACTGCTTCGGAGCCGCCTTAAGCCTTGATTTTTTCGATGGCGTCTACGCATGACAGGACGAACGGAGATAAGCCCACTAAGATAAGCGTTTTGTGCATCAGTGTTTCCTAGTTCATTAAACTCACGACGAAGTCTACAGCGTTCAGGTTCAGGAACAGTAGTAAAACAGCGAAAACGTTCACAAAAACAATCAGAACCAAGTTCGTGGGTAGTGGCGCGCAACGTTTTCATTGCGTCTCTATGTCTTCCTGTTCTTTACGTTTTTTCGTTTCTCTGTTCGATGGGTCTGATTCATTTTCACTCGAAACTGAATAGTTACTATCCATTATACACAAAACCAGTATTTATAAACTAAATTAGTGAATACAGTCAATATTTAAAATATCACCGTATACAACACACGTGGACTCTAATAGTAAACGAATGGCTGATTCAATAACGAAGCGCCGCCTTTCCATATGGACTCATGCCATTCTTCCCCGGCACAGGGGATCTTATAGCAGTTGTTTCGTGAACCTAAGCCCTTGTTACAATTTAAGAAGCTGATTTTTTTTTATAATAATAATATTTATTTACTCAATGTACAAAGATAACAAACAATATGAGTAAATAAATATAAAATCAAAACAGGCCCAATAGAAGGCATCGCCTGTACATGGACCAATAATTTAAGTTGAAACTGTAGAATGCAAATGACAAAAAAGGACAAAAATTAGCTACAGTAGATTATGTATTTTGTTGATGTTCGTATTTATGAGTTTATGAATTTCAGTCCTAGCTATAGAATGTAGCCACTTTTTTAAATTTCTTTTGAAACAATTTCCGAAACGTAAATCTTTTAAGTCTTTAGGTATAATTTCATAAAATTTAGGCGCTAAATAGAGATATGATCGCTGCATTATAGATTTATGCGGTTGAGGAACTACTGTGCCACGAATTTTGTACCTGGTATAATGATTATGTTTAATTTTTTGGTCGGTGTTTACAAATTTATGGTAGTGAGTGATACTGTGTAAGAAATAAAGCTGTCTTATATCATACATTCGAACATCTGCATATAATTTTTCAGTGGGATAAAGTTTCGGTTTTTTAAATATCATTTTTAGAATACTTTTTTGAAAAACATCTAAATTATAGATATGTGAGGAACATGCAGCTCCCCATGCTAATATACCATATGTGAGATGAGGCTCAATCAGTGCATGGTATAATGTTTGAAGATATATTTCTGTCAATATATTCCCAAGGTATTTAATTTTCTAACTTTCTTTAAAATATAATTGACATGGATGTCCCATCGTAAGTGAGGATCCAAGACCACTCCAAAGTATTTTATGTTGGGCACTCTATTAATTTGCATTTTTTTATCATTAATATTGAAGGAGAAATTTGTGTAATTTGGCAGATGTCTAGCATAAGATCCAAATGGTAAAAAATGTGTTTTAGAGTAGTTAATGCTTAATTTTCTACTGTTAAACCACCGAATAATTTTGATAAAATCATTTTCAATTACATTTTTCAGATCAGACCAGTCAGTGCCTTCATATAATATTGCAGTATCATCTGCAAAACTAGTTATTTTGCCAACACAATTAATTTGGAAAATATCATTTAAATATATATTGAATAACAGCGGACCTAAGACAGTTCCTTGTGGGACACCACACTTAATATACATTTCTTTACTAAATGATCCTCATATCTGCACAGATTGTGGGCGATTTGACAAATAACTTTCGATCAGTGAGTACGCGTTTCCTCTGAAACCAATTCTCTCCAATGCTTCCTATAATAATTTGTGATTAACTGTGTCGAAAGCTTTCTTTAAATCAACAAAAATGCAGATTGAAGTGATTCTGTTATCAATATTTTGATATATTTGATTTACAATTTTAGTTATTGCGTCCGATGTAGCCTTCCCTTTTGTAAATCCATATTGATTTTCACTTAAAATTTTGAATTTTGTGAGGTATCGAATCATTCTAGTAGATAAAACTTTTTCAAAAACCTTTGCTACACTGGATATTATTGATATTGGTCTATAGTTGTTAACATCTGTTTTTGTTCCTGATTTATGTATCGGTATTATATTACCTTTTTTTAAAATTGAGGGATATATGCCAGATTCAAAGCATTTGTTGATTAGGTAAGTGAGTGGTTCTGTTATGTCCTCGGCTATAATTTTCAAATGCTCGCTTTTAATACCATCGAACCCAGGACTTTTCCGATTTTTTAAGGACATAACATACTTCACATTGTTCGACTTTATCCAAAATAAATGAGTTCAAAGTTCTTTTTGGAGGCTGAGTATTTTGTACATTTGCTTGTATATTACTTGCTAAATTTTCGCCTATGTCAGTAAAGAATTGTACAAATTCATCGCATATCTGTTGAGTATTTTTTAATACTGTTCCCGATGTTGTATTTAACTCAGTGACACACTCTTTAAATTTTGTTTTCCCAGTAATCTCATCAATAGTTGTCCAAAGCCGCTTAGGATCATTTAAGTTATTATTCAATTTATTTAGGTAATGTTTTCGTTTGGTTTGCCTTGCAAGCTCTATAAATTTATTTTTATATTGGTTGTAACAGTCGGTATTCTCTGTAGTTGGCGTTAGTTTCATTACATTATATAGTCTTTCTTTTTCTATTGCCGATGTTATTAATCCTTTGGTAATCCAGGCATTTCTGCTTTTCTCTTTGTGACTAATTATTACTTTATTGGTACTAATATCTATTAGTTTTTTTATTTTCTCTATGAACAGTCCCGTTGCTTTGTCTATATTATTTATAGAGTATAATTGTTCCCAGGATTCTTGTTTGACATTTGATATTAGTTTTGAATTGTCGACAAAAAATTTGTAATTTTCCTGGTTGTTATTAACGGTAGGAATGTTAGAATGTTTTTCATTTGAAGATATCAGTAAAATAGTGGAGAAGTGGTCAGTAATATCGCTTTCTAGGATTATTGGTATACAAGTAATTTTGTTGGATAGGTCTTTCACAAAGCAGTGATCTATACATGTGCCACTGATGGACATTGTAGGTAGGTTTATATAGGACAGAAATCCGTTACTTGATAGGATATTCAAGTATTCATTTGTGATGGGATCATTGTCCAAAATATTTATATTATTACAAGATAGCATCAGAAAAATGCCACCAAAATAAACTGAAAGCTCAATTTAGCCAAATAATGAACTAATGCCGTTTTTCTCCGGTACCCTTCAGATGTTTTTAGATGTTATGTGGCATGTGTCATCACGATAAGCCATGCATTAAAACTCAGAAAGATAGAGGAATGTTTTCGATATGCGTCTGACTAAATATCGGTAAGAATACCTATTGTATGCGCCTATTTGACTGACTTGATCCGTTTAATTTCTCTACTGTACCTACATATCCGTAACCAATTTTCAACTTGTGCCGAGTCCAATCCTTTATGAATTGATGACGGCGTTGATAAACGTGTGTTAGATATGGATAAAAGATTTACTGTCAGTGCCTTTAAGGCCTTACCTGATATATCTTAGAAGCACGATGAATCCGGGGTTCACCCTCCTTTTCTCGAACTGATTCAACAGAACGTACACCACCAGAAGTCCGCTCAACAGGAAGAACGAATCGACGAACAAGTCGCCGTGGAAAAGTACGCAGGCCACCGATGATCTGTATTGCTGCAAAAAATAGACGCGAACGGTCATTTTGCGAAACAAAAAAAATCTCGTTTCGCTATTATCTAATTTGTATGAGTAATTGTTTTAATATGCTATGAATCCCATTGACTAATTTCGGCATGATAAAAAATGATCACTAATCAAATAAAGAACCCTAAAAAATATATAATTGTTTTTTTTGTGACAAATTCAAACGAACGTTCCATAAACGTTGTTTTTTTCCTTTACCATTTTTCTGGTAAAATTAAAGTAACAAAGTTATAGCCCTTTGGAAGTTTGAGTACCGCCCTGTCTCAATAATAATATTATGTGCTCGTGTTTGAAAACAACGGATATAATCCACCTTATCAGTTCATCGCATCGGAAACAAAAAAGCGAAAGAATTTGGAACGATGTTTTTACAATTATTTTATTCAATTGTATACAGTCAGTGTCAGTCGGTAACGCGTGAGTGAATAGTGGTGTCTGTTGCGTGGCTCAAACGAAATAAAAAATGGCACATGTTTATGCGGATCGGTTTCCCAATCGAGTGCAACCAACCCCTCGTGCCTTTGTTAATGTAGTACAACGGGCTCGTGAATCAGGTGACTTAAGACCTCAGAGGGGACGGAATGCCGGTGCTCCAAGACCTCACGATCAAATACAGGTCCGCACTGAAATACTTGTCGGGAGGATACTTTATAAAACAAGATAAATTTTTTTTTTATTTTTTTTTTATTTTTACACACATATTTTGGTTTATCTTCCTTCTACAATCATTATCTGAAAATTAATGACTCAACTTCAAAGTGACCCTGTATAAATATGCCAACGAAAACTCACCGATTCTAAATAGTCGAAGTTCAGAATAGCGGCAGAGATGAAAGTTCCAAATCTGTGGTCCATGATGATGGCCAGAATACATATCGTCCTCATCCCATACAATATTCCCAGAGCTGGATTGGAGTCCTCGGTCTTGTTCAGTTCGTGAAAGTTCTCTCTTGCCGAAAACGCCATCAGCAATTTGGTAGGTCTAGACCCTGTAAAAGAATCTCGACTTGTACGGATGCACAAAACGAAAGCGTATACAGAGCGTTATACAAATCGGCTGGATGGATCTCTGAGTCCTCGTGACTTTTTTCTCTTTCCGAAGTTGAGAAGTCACCCAGCGAACTCATTTTGAGACAGTCGAAAACACTCAAACGTAGCTCCAGCACTGCTATGAGCAGTGAGTAATTAAATTTGAACAAAAAAATGAAAAGGCCTGTCTCATTACTTAATTTGCAAACCTCGTAGGGAAATAACTATTTCCATTCATTTGATGCAGCTCCGAAAAGCTGTTTTAGTACTTTAATCGTACGTATGCGTAATTTGAAAATAGATTTGTTAGGAGATAGTGAGTCACTGACTCATCTTTTGTCGTAAGTATCAGCAGAAACGAATACTCACATACTCACTTTTTAAAGGCTTCTCGTCTTTGGTCTGGTAGCTGCTTATGTAGTCGTAAGCTGTCGCCAAGAAGACCATAAAGATCAGTATCACAGTAAGGAGGCTGGAAAAAGAATCAAATATAACTATGCAAAGAACAGAGCAGGAAATATACTAAGTGACATATAAATCCGAACACCCAGTTTAAATGGTTTTATTTTAATAAAAGTTGGTGAATGTATTTATCTTACTGTAAATAACAAGTGAAAAAATTTTCAGCCTTATCAGTTGGACATTCCGGTTTTTATACTGCTTTTTTTAATTCACTAACGATCTAAAAATGAATATTTCAGCCGCAGTAAAGAATCAACGTTGGCGGATTTTGGTTCTTGACATCTCCTTTACGATCGGTTACGATGCCTAGAGTACGGAGACCTGTACGATTTCGTCAACTTAGTGAGTTTGATAGGGGCCGTATAGTGGGACTTCGGGAAGCTGGACTTTCTTTTCGGGCAATTGCAGTTGGAGTGCAAAGAAGTGTAGACACTGTGGTTAGGTGTTGTCAGGCATGGCTTCGAGAAGGCCGTACGTAAAGAGCAAGGGGTACTGGACGCCCCCGTAGAACAACAGACCGTGAAGATCGCCGCCTAAGGGACCGTTTCTCCACTACCAGGTCCATTGCAAATGAATGGTTTGCAGAACACGGAAGACCTATTGGCATGCGAAGTGTTTACCGACGAATGAGAAGTTTTGGCTTGTTTTCATACCGGCCACACTGGGTCCTCCCTTTAACTCGAGAACACCGACGTAATCGCCTTGAGTGGTGCAGACAACGGTCACTCTGGGATCAGGAATGGAACAGTATTGTCTTTAGTGACGAGTCTCGATTTTGTTTAGGCATGCACGATGGTCGTGCCAGGGTTAGAAGGCGACGTGGTGAAAGGAGGAATCCACAGTTTTTTGTTGAAAGACATGTTCATCACACTGTTGAAGTTATGGTTTGGGGTGCTATAGCTTATGGTTCCAGGTCACCTTTAATCTTCATCAGAGGTAACATGAACGCGCAGCGTTATATCCACGAAGTTCTAGAACCCCATCTTTTACTCTATCTTGACACCCTGACAGATCCAACTTTCCAACAAGATAATGCCCGACCACATGTTGCAAGAGTCACAATAAACTTCTTTCAACATAATGATGTCACTTTGTTACCATGGCCACCAAGATCTCCCGACTTATCCCCAATTGAGCACGTGTGGGATATGATGGGTAGGAGATTGCTCAATTTGCAACGTCCTCCTCAGACTCTAGAAGCACTTCGAGAGGAGTTGGTGGTTGCCTGGAATGAGATACCACAGGAGGACATTGGCCACCTGATCAGAAGCAAGCCTAGGCGCGTTGGAGAATGCGGGTGCATCCACACATTATTAAAGGTCAAAGGGCTTTAAAGCAGTGCAATCATTTTGAAATTTTTATCATTTACTTATTATGCTTCATTAAGTACTTATACAAAATTTTATTAAAATAAAACCATTTAAACTGGGTGTTCGGATTTATATGTGACTTAGTATACATGGCTGTGAGGAAAGTTTCTTATAAGAGACAATTCATATGAAATTGAATGCCTTATCTAAACATGCAGAAAAAACAGCGTGGAAAATATTTCGAAAAACTCTAAAAATACCGTTGTATAACGTGTTTCCGACTTACCAAAAGGAGATATCAGCATTATCAAAGTACTGGGATTCCGCTTTGGTATTACAAAGCTCCTCGTGAAACTGTGCTGTGTACGTGACGTTCTGTCTTTTCAAACTGTTATCTACTCTATTCAAATACTGGTTCAGATACTCCTCCAAGTCCAAGATAGAACACGAGGAAGGAATACACCAGCCCATCTTGATTGAGTTTCTAGCTTGTTGCGAGACATCGTCGTATTTCTGGAATTAAATATGAAATAAGAATGATATTCGGTATAGGGAAACGTTTACGTACAATTCTGCTCGTAATTAATGATGAAAAAATGGAATCATTCAAATATCTGGGTATGTGGATAGTAAGCTTTAGTTACAAAAGAATTATGAGTACATTATTCCAAATATACCAAAAAAAGATAAATTACTTCTATAGAGTTTCCAATAATTCCAGTATGTATTCCAGAAAAATCATGTATAACAAACACTATAACTCTTCCTCATTTCTTATATTGTGCAACTATCTTGCTTACAGCAAATGAAAACATATTTTCAGAATTATAAATTAATGAGGATCACTTTAAATAAAAACAAATCAATATACTAAGATTAAGTCTATGTTAGAATGACTTAAATGGTTGAATGTAAAAAATTGTAGATGTTATTTGATTCTCATTTTCATATTCAAATTAAAACATTATTTATTACCACCACATCTAGAAAAATTCACAAAATTTAATAGTTATTATCATAACTACGCAGCCCGAGAGAGAATAACAAGTACATATTCCAAAAGGGATCATCTGAATTTAACAACCTGAACAATTAAAATTAAAACGTTCGATGTGAAATTCAAAAATCACTTTATGAATACTCAAAATGCATAATGATGTAATTTCAACAGAGAAGAATGTAAAGCAACACAAAATTGACTTAAAAAATGTGTAAACGAATAATTGACATTGTATCATTAGTGCTAAATATACTAAGTGACATATAAATCCGAACACCCAGTTTAAATGGTTTTATTTTAATAAAAGTTGGTGAATGTATTTATCTTACTGTAAATAACAAGTGAAAAAATTTTCAGCCTTATCAGTTGGACATTCCGGTTTTTATACTGCTTTTTTTTAATTCACTAACGCTCTAAAAATGAATATTTCAGCCGCAGTAAAGAATCAACGTTGGCGGATTTTGGTTCTTGACATCCTTTACGATCGGTTACGATGCCTAGAGTACGGAGACCTGTACCATTTCGTCAACTTAGTGAGTTTGATAGGGGCCGTATAGTGGGACTTCGGGAAGCTGGACTTTCTTTTCGGGCAATTGCAGTTAGAGTGCAAAGACGTGTAGACACTGTGGTTAGGTGTTGTCAGGCATGGCTTCGAGAAGGCCGTACGCAAAGAGCAAGGGGCACTGGACGCCGCCGTAGAACAACAGACCGTGAAGATCGCCGCCTAAGATTATTGGCCTTAAGGGACCGTTTCTCCACTACCAGGTCCATTGCAAATGAATGGTTTGCAGAACACGGAAGACCTATTGGCATGCGAAGTGTTTACCGACGAATGAGAAGTTTTGGCTTGTTTTCATACCGGCCACACTGGGTCCTCCCTTTAACTCGAGAACACCGACCTAATCGCCTTGAGTGGTGCAGACAACGGTCACTCTGGGATCAGGAATGGAACAGTATTGTCTTTAGTGACGAGTCTCGATTTTGTTTAGGCATGCACGATGGTCGTGCCAGGGTTAGAAGGCGACGTGGTGAAAGGAGGAATCCACAGTTTTTTGTTGAAAGACATGTTCATCACACTGTTGGAGTTATGGTTTGGGGTGCTATAGCTTATGGTTCCAGGTCACCTTTAATCTTCATCAGAGGTAACATGAACGCGCAGCGTTATATCCACGAAGTTCTAGAACCCCATCTTTTACCCTATCTTGACACCCTGGCAGATCCAACTTTCCAACAAGATAATGCCCGACCACATGTTGCAAGAGTCACAATAGACTTCTTTCAACATAATGATGTCACATTGTTACCATGGCCACCAAGATCTCCCGACTTATCCCCAATTGAGCACGTGTGGGATATGATGGGTAGGAGATTGCTCAATTTGCAACGTGCTCCTCAGACTTTAGAAGCACTTCGAGAGGAGTTGGTGGTTGCCTGGAATGAGATACGACAGGAGGACATTGACCACCTGATCAGAAGCATGCCTAGGCGCGTTGGAGAATGCGTAGCACATCAGGGTGCATCCACACATTATTAAATGTCAAAGGGCTTTAAAGCAGTGCAATCATTTTGAAATTTTTATCATTTACTTATTATGCTTCATTAAGTACTTATACAAAATTTTATTAAAATAAAACCATTTGAACTGGATGTTCGGATTTACATGTCACTTAGTATAAATCTTAAACAAAAATTACAGGAAATTGTCAGGAAAGTTGATGGTCAGATTCCGTACGTTGAAATTTGAGAAAGTCAATGAACACATTGCACCTCAAAATTGTTTTTTGGAGTACTCAGGATCAATAGTGTTGGTGACGATAACTTCCTATGTTTTCGGTTAAAATGTTGTGTGTAAATGTGTAAAACCAGTTTAACCGATTAGCCATAGCGTTTTTGCGATTCTCTTTGTTTATATAATTTTAATTAGCAAACTTTTAAGCGAATCACATTTTTGGCCACCAAAACCTGGCCTTGGAATCTCTTCTAGACAACCGAGTGCCGGACACGGCTTTCCGCATCATTTAGTGTGGGAAAAGTACGGAACCATGATCACCATCAGGATCATCATAAATTCGATTTATCGGCTATACAGGGTTAGTCCGGAAAGTAATAGGACTGAGTCGATTTAAAAAAAAATTTTGAGCCAATCGTTACAATTCTTTAAAAACTTTCAATAAATAGGCTCCTTCTGCGTCGATGCAGCGCTGCCAGCACGATCTCCAAGCATTGAAGCCGTCACGGAAGGCATTCCACGTAAAACTTGGCGTTGACGGTTTGCCCAGGAGGAACAAATTCATGGTGGACGATGCCTTTGATGTCAAAAAAGACAATGAGCATCGTTTTCACTTTGGATTCGCTCATTCTTCCCTTTTTTGGACGAGGAGACGCTGTCGTGTGCCACTCGGAAGATTGCCTCTTTATCTCGGGATCATGCTCGTCACCTGTGATTACGTTATTCAAAAACTGGGGGTTACTTTCATACATGTTCAAATTTTCCAGCCGCTCATTCGTTAGCTAGGAACGCCCTCTACCGAATCCAGTCGGTGCGCGCGTCCTATTGCTTTCCGGACAAACCTTGTATGTTATGCAGAACATACCTATAAGAGGTATGATATTCAAACAGTAACGTTTTTTACTCTGCTCTGTGTCCGTTCAAAATCAGGTATGCAGGGTCTTATAGACTGGTGTAAGGAAAAACATGGATCCGATAAATGTCTGTTAAAATGATAGAAATTATAAATGAATAATTATTGAATTATTCGAAAATGTATCATTACAAAATATATTCTAGTTGCACCACGCTGCCTCATGTGCACTCACCACGGTACCACCGCGCGAGAGCGGGGAGATAAATCTATATACTTTTTTTTTCTTTTTTATATCGAAACAGCCGCGCAGGCAGAAGCCTAAATGCCGGAACACCGCGGCTGCTATGATGATCCCAAAGAAATTTTGTTAATACGATTTTTGAACTGCCTAAGGTTAGTAGAACTGGGAAAAGCTTCCTCCCGTAGATTGTTCCACAATCTAGACACCCTCGGGACAAAAGAGCGGTCATATCGGCCAGTTCTGGATGTACAAAGCTTGACACGGTTAGGATGGGACGCCGAAGTCAGGCGGGTCTGCCTGGCAGGCACATCGCGCGGCGGCATCATGGAAGAGAGCTCTGAGGAGCAAAGCCCGTTGGTGTAGCGATAGAAAAGAGCCAGATCGCCGACGACCCGCCGGTGCGAAAGAGTCCCGAGACTGTCTGTTAGAGAAGAGTCATCGATAAGTCGGACCGCCCTCCTCTGGACAGCATCGAGCATGGACAATGTAGTCGGGGCGGCAGCACCCCAAATGTGTGAGCAATACTCAAGGCTAGGCCTTATCTGGGCCTTGTATAGAGTGAGAAGGTCATGCGGAGAAAAGTACTTCTTAGCCCTAAACAAATAGCCTAGCTTTTTCCCAGCAGCTGCAGCTATTGAAGAGATGTGTTCGTGCCAGATCAGGTCCTCGGTGATCTGGACTCCGACCAGCCGAAATGAATGGCTCTTTGGTAGAACTCGACCGTCCATCGAAACTGTATGAGCGCTAGGACGCTTTTTGTTCGTCAAAGTACAGTACTGTGTTTTGGAAGCATTGAACTGTACAAGATTGTTGCGTCCCCAAGCAGTGATAGCCTCCAGGTCTCTTGTCAGAGAAGAAGTCGTCGCTAGTCTTCGGCTTGTCACTCTGAATTCCTGCATGTAGAGTGCTGTCATCAGCGAAGCTGTGGATTGGGTTGATCGTGCAGGAAAGGAGGTCGTTGATATGTAAGAGAAACAGTGTTGGAGCCAAGACCGATCCCTGGGGAACACCCGCGTTGACGTTGTGGGATGAAGAGGAGAATCCGTCAATTACGACGGATATCTTGCGGCCAGAGATAAAGTCAGCCACCCATCTGCAAAGCTTTTCTGGGAGGCCGTAGGATGGAAGTTTGCTTAAGAGGGCAGCGTGCCACAGCTGATCGAACGCTTTCGTGATGTCAAGAGCAACGACATGAGCCTCACCATGAGACTGGATGAGTTTACTCCACAGTTGCGTGACGTAAGCTAGGAGGTCCCCTGTGGATCGTTGGTGCCGGAAACCGTACTGCCTGTCGCTAATCAAGCTGTGACGCTCGAGGTAGTCCAGAAGCTCGCGATTTATGCACCTCTCCATCACTTTACTTATAACAGAAAGCAGAGCTATAGGCCTGTAGTTGTAAGGGTCGGTTTTAGATCCTTTTTTTGGGATGGGCTGTACATGAGCAAATTTCCAGTTTTCTGGGAAGGTGCCGGATTCATAAGATATCTGGAAGAGACGCGAAAGAACTGGAGCAAGCTCCGCTGCACATCTCTTCAGTACAATGGCAGGAATCAAGTCCGGACCAGAAGCTTTGTTGATGTCGATCGACAAGAGCACTCGTCTTACGGTCTTATGCCTGAATGTTACCTCCCGCATAGTGTGGGGAACCCTTTGAATTGACGGCACTTGGGCGTTGGTGGGGACGTCCATGGTGGAGTTGGCAGCAAAGATCTTGGCTAGCACTTCCGCCTTGGCCTTTGAGTCGAATACAATAGTTCCATCCTGACACGTAAGTGGTGGAAGGCTACTGTGTGAGTTCTTTTCAATCTGCTTGGCCAGCGTCCAGAAAGACCGACTGCCATTGCGCTGCGACATTACCCTGTGCCTAACTTTTATATCATGCTGGTTTTTGGCATTGCGAACCGCTTCGTTATATTTGTTTCTGGACTCGACGTCGGCTTGTCTGTTCTCTACAGTGGGGTTTTGTAAGTAGGTTCTGTGGGCCTTGATCTTCTGCTCTCGAGCAGTGTCACACGATTTGTTTAACCAGCCGTTGGACCCTGGTTTAGGAAAGCGATTTGAGATACCTTACCAATCCGGTTAATTTCATTTGAACGCCGCCAGATGGCCGTCAAGCCGCTTGAAAGAACAAACGAACAGAGGCGTTAGTTGTCTCTAATCGGTTACTTAGTAAGTGGTTACAATTTCAACTTACATACAGTCTATGAAATACCGAGCCTTGCGGATCGAAATCTAGGGAAAGGAAATCTTTCCTGGGCGGGCTGGGCTCTGGAACATTCGCCGTGAGCGTCGCCAGGCAATATTTGGCGGGAAACGGAGCCTGCGCTGAGAGGCATTGCTCGAAGTGCCCCATTTGGAAGACGCTGCCTCTGAGCACTCCTGTTGGGGATTTGGCTGTCGCATCCCACACTGAAACAAAAGAAAAATACTGTCTAGTAGATTGACTCAGTCGTTTTTTTTATTTTTAATAACGTTACAGAAGGCGAGATTTAGATACTATATGGATTTTAGCATCTAACCCCCTTGACAATGCGAGATGTATAAAAGACTAAAAATTTGCTAAATAGTCATACCTCAATAGTAAGGCATAGCCTTGAAAATAACCAGCACTACAGTATATTCAGATAAGAGATAGACCGGATGTAAACAAAAGTTTCGGGTGATTTTCACGCTAACGCCGCCGTCTCGACGTAAAACAGGAGCCCTCATTGGTCAATTCGCAATTAAATGCCTATGCCGAGCGGCAGAGCAGTCGTATCAAGGCAGAGTCACATTTAGGTTCAGACGTGTTACGTATGTCGTGTGCATCATTGCAATTTGATATTTCTTTGGACGTTTTCGTTTGTTATCTTATTAAGTTGTTGAGTTTGTCGTTGTTATTGTTATACCTTGTTATTGATTGTTATTGTTATCAACTGCTTGCGCAAAATGCCCAGTAGTACAGATACTGCCGATGAAGTTGTAAACTCCTGTAGTCCACCTAGGAAACGCTCTAAAAAAAGACACCTGAGTGCAGAAATGAAAGAGGTCATTTTGAATATATATAAGATCGAGCGCGAGGAGAACGAGGCATCAACCATCAAAGAAATTCTTGTGAAGGTTTCTCACAAAGTTGGGGTGTGTCGCGCATCAGTGTTTAATGTGTTAAGACAATACAAAAAAAATCACACCTTTTCTGAGCCAATGATCAGTAAACATCGCAAAAGTATTGTTAAATCATTGGATGAAGCTGATAAGCATGCGATTAGGAGGAAAGTGCATGAATTCTTCTTTAGGAATGAAATACCTACTATAGATAAAGTACTGCAGGAGGTAAATGGAGATACAACGTTGCCAAATTTCAAACGATCAACTTTCCATGCGTTACTGAAGCATTTAAATTTCAAATGGCAAAAACGGGGTCGTAATAGTTTACTACTGGATAGAGAAGAAATTGTGCTATGGAGGAGGGATTATTTAACAAAAATTGGGAAATATAGAAATCAAAACAGGAAGATTTATTACCTTGATGAAACGTGGGTAAACGCAGGACACACTACAAGTAAAGTATGGGTTGATGATTCTGTAACTTCATCCAGGAGGGCCTTTCTAGATGGACTGTCCACCGGATTAAAAAATCCAGCAGGTAAATACGAGTAATAGACAACAATCGGATGTTTTTCAAACCTTGGGAACAAGGTTCTAAACATTAATTCCAGAGGGCAGATAAAACATATTACAAGTAACAAAACTTTTATAACTTTCGATAAAATGCGTGGATGTTTTATTGTCATTTTCATTTGTTAGAACTTTTTTAAGCCATGTTTTTATGTGTTTTCGATATTTCAATAATTTTTTAATATAATCTTAAAATATGTCGAATATTATAAACTTAAAAAAAGTTACTAAGTTTTATATTGTGTACCGTTCCTAATATTTCTAATCATTTTAATTCATACTTTAAGCTTTATAAAGTTATAATCTGTTAATATTAATATTTGCGCGTATTTCAGGTTCCTGATCATTCATTTTTAAAGGTTTATAACTTTAAATTAAATTGTGAAGCGCTGAGTAATCATACGACGTTCAATATTCTTTCTTTCAATATGACTAAATAATCCCAATTATAGCAATCTGATACTCATGTCAAAATGAGTTTTCGCTGAATGTGATGAAAACATTTGAAAAAGGTTCGCTTATTGAAATAAATCTACACCAGTTAGTACTTCGATTTCCAGGTAAAGGGAAAAGGCTCATTATCTGCCATATTGGCAGTGAGGATGGATTTGTTGTTGACGGTCTGTGGTGCTTTGAGTCTAAGAAAACTGGAAATTACCACGAGGAAATGAATGGCGAATCGTTTGAACAGTGGTTTTCAAAAATTTTATCGAACTTAGAGGAAAACGCAGTAATTGTGTTGGATAATGCGCCTTATCATTCTCGAAGAATGGAGAAGGTCCCAACAACGGCTTCAAGGAAAGTTGATGTTCAAAATTGGCTCCGCTCGAAAAATATCAACTTTGAAGAAGCAATGCTGAAAGTACAATTATTAAGAATTGTCAAGGATCACAAGGCGGAATATCAAAAATACGCCATTGACGAAAAGTCAAAATAAAACTGTGCTCCGTTTACCTCCATACCATTGCGAGCTCAATCCCATTGAGCTCATATGGGCAGAGGTTAAAAGTTATATAGCTAAGCACAATACAACTTTTAAATTTTGTGACCTCAAAGGACTTTTCAAAGAAGCACTAGAATTAATAACAGCGCAAAAATGGGAAAACTGTATTAAGCACGTGAAAGACAAAGTTGAAAAGAGAATGTGGGAACTGGACAATATTTTAGAGGAACAAGTCGAGCCATTCATTATTGACGTTGGTGCTTCAGGCAGTAGCGATGATGAAAGCTCATCAAGCTCATCTTTCCAATAAAAGATGTCGTTCATCAAATTCGGTAAGTTATAAGTAATTATAAAGCTACTGTATTTTTTAATTAATTATTGACATTTTTGAACCCATTTTGGCAAAACCTATTCAAGAATCTACTTTCTGACAATGTTCAACCATGCACATTTTTTTACGTTTTGAACGTTTTAATTTGGTTACATATTTACCTAGAAATCAAAAAATATACTAATCAATATTCTAAAAGCAATTTTAAGAGATATACGATTATTTTTAATTTAGGATAATTTAAACGCCATTTTGAGATTATATTCGACTGTATTTCACCAAACATCAGGCGGCATCCGAAGCTGGAAATCGAAGCGAAAATTTTGAAACCCTTATGTATATTTACATCATTATATATTTCTTACCCCACCCCCACATGATCCTATATCCATCACCAATCGTATACACATCGAATTGTGCTAATTTACTACAAAGTTACGCAAAGCAGCATCTACTACTATCTAAAATATGTACTGCGTGACTCTTAATACGTCCCTGCCGAATGTTACAGCGTTCGATGATCACGTGGTCTTGTTTATGTCCGGTCTATCTCTTATCTGAATATACTGTAAAATATTGAAAACAATTTTATCAAAAATTATACATTGTGTACATACACATATGAGTGTACGAAAAAAAAACTAAACGATTTATGCAGGGTGATTCACAAGTCGTGACCAAAAATTGAACATCATACACAGGGCCGCGTCTTAAGGAGGTCTCCCATTAAAAAGATACGGGGTGTTAAAGTCTAAAAATAAAGAATTTTTTTTATATCTTTTAATCCGTCAACTGGAAAGAGCTAAAATTTGATATGTGGATTGTCCACATTCAAAAGTCTTTACTTGAAATTAAGGTGCACCAGTGGCGGGGATTAGTGGCTCTATTTTTTCAAATAAAAATAGTACGCTCTTTAATAACTTCCATCAGTCTCCTTGTTTTCTGGGGTTCAAATACTTTTGAACGGTAGTGTAGGTTCATTAATCAATAACAAAATTGTGGTCTGGATTTGGGCGCTTTTCTCTAGTCTGATTGAGGAACACGTGTGGTCCTAAGACAGATCCCTGAGGAATTCCCACAGTAACCTGCATTTTTCTTGTATGTAAGTAGTTCTTATAGCTGCGATAAATTTATTACGGCTGCTTTCAACACAAATTAAATGCCATTGTACAGCTTCTTGATAAAGCACTTCTTGAACAGGTGTAATAAACAACAAATAAATCAAAGCGTTACATACGGTTATAGTGTGTTGAAAAGCGCGAATGGATCATGAGTCATGCGACTGCGTCTGTTTTCAGAAGGAGCAAAAAATTGTTTATTATCCTCCAATACAATAACTGTTTGTTTATAAAGTTATAAATAATGTATCATGGTATGGTTGTTTGGTTGTTTCATATTTTCGTGGAAAAATGGGATCTAGAAGATAGCTTTGTCCTTGGCGTTAGTCAAGGTCAGGTTCTGGATGATTTTCGTTATATTTTAAATAATCGAACCATCAGTTTAACGCATTGATTCCCAAAGTGGTCTATATCGACCCCTAGGGGTCTATGACAACCTGCAAGGGGTCTACGTCAGCGAAAAAAAATTTGGGGGTCCATGAAATGAATATGGGGGTCCACGATAGTGGATCTCAACACATACACTGATAGTACCTATATACTTGCATCATACTATCATATAATATCAAAACATATACATTATTTATAAAAGTGCCTATGAAGTAAAAAATGTATTATAATGTTTATAAAATTGTGTAAGTTGTAGGATGTTGGTTTTCGCTTTGTGGTCGCAATACATTTTGAACTTGTAAAAACCTGAGAGTCGCAGTTAGCAAAGATAGATAAATTACGCCAATCATGACTTTAGTTATTAGTAGTTAAATATTCAATCATGCAAAATTACACGAGTACTCCTCAATAGTTTCTTTTTGAAAGTTTTAGCAATCGGTAATATAATTACAGTGCAATCTCCGTAGTTCGAGCTAATTGTTGCAAGAAGATGTTCGAATTATGGAATGTTTCGGAAAAATCAAAAATATTCTTAATATACAGCTGCTGGATTTTCTGTCTTATTTAAATAATTTAATTTTGCCCACAGATGACTGATGCCATGTCCGAATCTAAAAAGAAATGTAGACAGTACAGTGTTGATTATTTGAAATTTGGATTCATTCCATCATTGCCGGACAAACAATCGCCTATGTGCCTTTTATGCAACAAAGTTTTGGGCAGTGACGCTATGAAACCATCTAAACTGCAAGATCATCTGAGAAGATGCCACCCTGATAAAACAGAGAAAGATTTGAAATACTTTCAAACACTCAAAGATAAATTTCAGAAGAGACCTACACTGGACAGAATGTTCGCTTCGACGTCACAAAGAAATGATGATGGTTTGCGGGCGTCTTACAATATCTCGTTACTTACAGCAAAATCCGGAAAACCGCATACTATCGGAGATAAGTTAATTTTGCCAGCCGTTGAAGAGGTTTTAAAACCTGTTTTACACAAACCTGCATCTGATATCATTAAAAGAATTCCATTAAGCAACAATACTGTTGAAAGACGTATTGATGAAATGAGTTCTGATATTGAAAACTTCTTATGTAATTATTTGCAAACGACCCATTTCTCTTTACAACTGGACGAGTCAACTTTACCTGATAATGCAGCATTATTATTGGCATATGTTCGTTTTATTATGAATCAAGAAATCTACGAGGAACTGCTCTTCGCAAGAACTTTGATAACCGACACTAAAGGTGAATCAATATTTCATGTTTTGAAGGATTACTTCATTGAAAAAGCAATTCCTTTATCAAATATAATATCAGTAGCTACAGATGGAACACCTGCCATGGTAGCGTGGATTTATAAGCCATTTAAAACAAAATGTGTCAGGGGTGTTAGCAATACATTGCGTCATCCATCGACAACATTTAGTTGCTAAAAATTTGAGTGTTAGATTGCATGAATCACTTCATTTAGTCATTGATGCAGTAAACCGAATCAGAAGCAACGCGTTGAATACGCGGTTATTTGCGTAGTTGTGTGAAGAAAATGACGAACACTTTCATCAATTACTCCTTCACACTGAAGTACGCTGGTTGTCGAAAGGCTTATGATTGACAAGATTTTTTGCACTTTTTGAGACTATTTTAGAATTTCTGGATACTAAACATAAAATTTTAAAAGAAAATTTAATGAAGAGGAAAACAGACATCATCCCCTATTTAACAGATTTGTTTACAAAATTTAATATGGTTAATTTGCAATTACAAGGCGACAGTTTAAATTTGATTAAAACAAAGTCCATCTTATCAGCGTTTCTTGCCAGAGTTAAACTAATGAAGCAAAATATTGGACGGGGCGAAATTTCTCAGGTCCCCAATTTGTCACAGACAAGCTGCCAGGAAGACGACGTTTCAACTTACGTTCAACATTTAAATGCCCTCTATTCGTATTTTGAATCCAGGTTTGAGGATATTTTGACTATGGTAATACCACCGTGGATAATTAATCCATATGGTGACATAGAAGAAACGAATGTCATAATACAAGAGGAACTGACTGAACTAAGTACAAACGAAGAACTTAAGGTTCAGTTTAAAAACGGATATCAGCAATTCTGGCTGCAAAACAACATACCCGTTACTTATCCCGTATTATGGAATATAGCGAGGAAATGTTTAATTTCCTTTCCATCGTCATACCTAGTGGAAAGGGGGTTCAGCGCTGTTACCAATCTCCTAACGAAAAAAAGAAACAGACTGGACATCATTAGCCGAGGAGATTTAAGATTAACCCTTACAAAATTGACGCCAAATGTTGATAATTTATTATTAAAGCATCAGGTTCATCCTTCTTACTAAAAATATTGACTTATTGCTTATATTATTTTATTTATAGTTTATTTTATGTTTATTGGTGTCTGACCAATAAATGCCCGCATTGGGAATAAGTGCCGTATTGATTTTTTTAAAGAACCCCCCTTTATTGATTTTTTTTTTAATTATTCTGTAAATTCAAGGATAGGTACACACTAAAATTCGTTAATTTTTTGACTATTTTTAGATAACTTCCACGTATAAGAAGCGGAATTTAATCAAATTAACAGAGAAATTATTGTAGAACATACGTTTATGTTATAATTAATAAACGAACTCGCTTATTGTACTATTTTAAGTAAAATACTTTTTTTTATTATTTTTTTATTTTTTTTATTTTTACCCTCTTATTTTTTTCAATGCGGGCACTTATTCCTAATGCGGGCACTTATTGGTCAGACACCTGTTTATTTAATGTTACGTATATTTTACATAACAGACAGAAAATTTTATTTTGAGTAGTTTTAATTTAAATTCAATTAATAAATGTATAAATTAACATGTGTTTTTACTTTAAGTTTTTAACACTAAACTTCACTACAGTTTACAGGAAATCAATATCAGGTAAGTAGGGGGTCTACCCAACAGGGAAAAACATGGCAAGGGGTCTACGACACAAAAAAGTTTGGGGAACTCTGGTTTAACCGCAAGATGCTTCTATCCACGGACTTCCTCAGGATAGGAAGCTTAAAACATTTTTTTATGAAATGTGGTGTAATCTTGTTGTAAATGAATTTGAAGAAAAATCAATTACTGCATGTAAAACATAGCCATAATTGTTTACAAGCACCGTATCTAACATGCATTGCCAATTACTGTTCTGTTTCTCAAATGAGGTTGATTTTACGTTTCATTTCATTTGTTTCAGTATTTGACATACACATACCGTGTTATTGATTTCCTGCATACTTCATTCTTGTGGTGGTTAACTGATCAATATTCTAATGAAACCTAAAAAGTACAGAGTTCATTTTAAGGTCCTGCACATTATCTCAAATTAATTTTCCACTTTTTGTTCAAATTTTTCACTTGTATCTGAAGAAGAATTTTCAAAAAAAATATCGCGACGGAATCTCAATACTTTGTGTTTTGAATATCTGCACTTCTTTCTGTGAACGGCAAGTTGCAAAACTTAAGCGTAGAATTTGGCACGAAAACTGTGACGTAATAATTAATAATAATAATAAACGGCTTTATTGGCGGGGTTCAGCACAGCTATTCTTACACTCAACCTTTCTAAAGACTAAAGCTAAGGCTAATTTGACATACAAATATGGTATTTTACATATACGGTAAACGATTGTCTGTCTATGAACTAAAAGAACATAATGGTAATTGATCACAGGGCATTTATTCATTGATCCTATGCTGAATCAGTATACTAAGTGACACATAAATCCGAACACCCAGTTTAAATGGTTTTATTTTAATAAAAGTTGGTGAATGTATTTATCTTACTGTAAATAACAAGTGAAAAAATGTTTTCAGCCTTATCAGTTGGACATTCCGGTTTTTATACTGCTTTTTTTTAATTCACTAACGCTCTAAAAATGAATATTTCAGCCGCAGTAAAGAATCAACGTTGGCGGATTTTGGTTCTTGACATCCCTTACGATCGGTTACGATGCCTAGACTACGGAGACCTGTACGATTTCGTCAACTTAGTGAGTTTGATAGGGTCCTTATAGTGGGACTTCGGGAAGCTGGACTTTATTTTCGGGCAATTGCAGTTAGAGTGCAAAGAAGTGTAGACACTGTGGTTAGGTGTTGTCAGGCATGGCTTCGAGAAGGCCGTACGCAAAGAGCAAGGGGCACTGGACGCCGCCGTAGAACAACAGACCGTGAAGATCGTCGCCTAAGATTATTGGCCTTAAGGGACCGTTTCTCCACTACCAGGTGCATTGCAAATGTATGGTTTGCAGAACACGGAAGACCTATTGGCATGCGAAGTGTTTACCGACGAATGAGAAGTTTTGGCTTGTTTTCATACCGGCCACACTGGGTCCTCCCTTTAACTCGAGAACACCGACGTAATCGCCTTGAGTGGTGCAGACAACGGTCACTCTGGGATCAGAACTGGAACAGTATTGTCTTTAGTGACGAGTCTCGATTTTGTTTAGGCATGCACGATGGTCGTGCCAGGGTTAGGAGGCGACGTGGTGAAAGGAGGAATCCACAGTTTTTTGTTGAAAGACATGTTCATCACACTGTTGGAGTTATGGTTTGGGGTGCTATAGCTTATGGTTCCAGGTCACCTTCAATCTTCATCAGAGGTAACATGAACGCGCAGCGTTATATCCACGAAGTTCTAGAACCCCATCTTTTAACCTATCTTGACACCCTGGCAGATCCAACTTTCCAACAAGATAATGCCCGACCACATGTTGCAAGAGTCACAATAGATTTCTTTCAACATAATGATGTCACATTGTTACCATGGCCACCAAGATCTCCCGACTTATCCCCAATTGAGCACGTGTGGGATATGATGGGTAGGAGATTGCTCAATTTGCAACGTCCTCCTCAGACTCTAGAAGCACTTCGAGAAGAGTTGGTGGTTGCCTGGAATGAGATGCCACAGGAGGACATTGACCACCTGATCAGAAGCATGCCTAGGCGCGTTGGAGAATGCGTAGCACATCAGGGTGCATCCACACATTATTAAAGGTCAAAGGGCTTTAAAGCAGTGCAATCATTTTGAAATGTTTATCATTTACTTATTATGCTTCATTAAGTACTTATACAAAATTTTATTGAAATAAAACTATTTAAACTGGGCGTTCGGATTTATATGTCACTTAGTATATTTGATATGTCAATATTCCTGCTATAGATGTTAAAGAGAGACACTGCATTATACGTGAATGATCTATAAAAGGGTGATGTTATATACATTGTAAAATGGTTTTGATGTCTTATATTGACATTGTGTATACTTGACCTAGGAACCAGCTTTTCTACTAAATATACAAGATTCTTAGAATATAATACACGATTCAATGCTGTTAGGTAAAAATATTTGAACAGAGAATTGATATTAGGCCATTGTAAAAGCCTGAAACTATTAGATATGTGGTCAAATTTACTTAAGTTACAGACAAAACGCAACAGTTATTCTGCAACCTCTGCAGATGTCTATTAAGTTTTGCATATAGAAACATAGAATCTTAACCTCCCTCTTTAGTAAACTTAAATTCAAAGTTTAACAACAATACGTGCAGTGTTCTCACTATAGTGAATTTTTAAGTGCCACCTAGTCATTAGAAAAATGGAACTCAACCGAGAACATTTTCGCGCCATAATTTATTACAACTTTCAGAGACAATTATCGCAACAAGAATGCCTAGCTGAGTTACTGTCTGTTTTCGGCGACGAAGCGCCACATCAGACGATAATTTCCCGTTGGCTGTTTGGGTATTCCAAGGTGAAGAAAAGCCAACAAAAGTCATCCGTACTCGAAGTGTTTCGAAAAAGATGGTCGCGACATTTGTGTCAAAAGCGGGTCATATTGCAACAATTCCTCTTAATGAGCAAAGAACTGTTACTGCGGATTGGTATATCACTATTTGTTTGCCAAAAGTCATCACCGAGCTTCGAAAAATCAACCCCGAAAGAAGAATCATCCTCCACCAAGACAAAGCAAGCTCGCACACAGCCCAAAAAACAAGGCAGTATTTAAAGGAAGAAAACGTGGAATTATTGGACCATCTTCCATATAGCCCTAACGATTTCTTTACTTTCCCGAAAATTAAAAACAGACTGCGTGGTCAAAGGTTCCAGTCACCAGAAGAAGCAGTTGACGTATTCAAAAATACCGTTTTGGATCTGCCAGCATGCAGATGTGTATTAATCTTCGTGGAGAATACTTCGAAAAACAATAAAGTCATTTAAAACTACCTACCCTGTTGTTTTATTTCCATTCACAAAACTTAAAAGACATCCCTCGTATGTCAAAGGGAAATAGATATAGCTACAGCGAGACCTTATTAGGATACAGCTTTGAAAAATTACCGACGAATCTGTGTTTCGACATCAGACTGTATCCATATGTTGCTCCTTTGTGTAGCCAGAAAACGACTATAGATCATATAAACTTTGACACCTCCGCTCTCTATCATGAGCTAGTTATTTTATTACAATACGGAACAGTAAAAAATTAATCAACATATACCTCTCACGTGGTTTTACATACGTTTATTAACGCATGTATATCCGCGAATATACCCTTCACTTCATCTATCCTACACTAAATTGCTGAGAAAACTGAACAGATCGGAGCTGAGAAACTTCTTACGATGGAAACGAATACATGAAATAAAATCGTCAAGTAGATTGACTATACATACACTGGTAGGGAAAGCAAAAAAGGCACTGCGTGAGTGGGAATGTATACTTTATCTGAAGTCACTTGAAATAGCATAAAAACCTTTGGTCGGCGCGTCCTTTGTAATTTCATGACGTACCATAGGCGTGCGGTCATTTATTTAGAACCATAATAATAATGTTTTTATATCACAATAAATGGATTTTACTATCTTCTTATTTTTTTGATTTGGGATAAAAAATACTTATATTGGAAGTTTAATTTATGTTGACTGAAAGTTAAGAAATGGAAAAATTACAGAATTCCAACGTTTGACATAGGCAAATATTTACATAGCAGGTAGGTATATAAAAAGGTATATCAAGACTTACATTATAGGTATTTATATATTATCCTCGCCTTCGGAGCTGTCGCTAGAGTCATCTTGTAGAGGAATTACAACGGGATTTATAGGAGGCAAAACACAATATTCATTTTCTTTTTCAATAATATGCCTAGAACACTGCTTCCATAGGTCTGTGGCAGCAATATGAGATACTGCATCTCTTATTGTCGCCAATAGCGATTCACTTAATTGAGGGGTCTGATTATGTTTTCTTACTTTTTTTTAAAGCAGCCCAGACCAACTCAATCGGGTTAAAAATGCAGTAATAGGGAGGTAGACGTAATACTTCATGGCCATTTTGCTGAAGCAGATTGTCAACAACATACTCTTTTTCAAATTTTTGTCTTTTAATAAGATCCAATAATATGGCTTTGGTTGATTTTTGTGGTATTTCCATTCCCTTATCCTTCATAAAATCAATAATGTCTTGTTTTTTTGTGCCTGTATTCGGAATTTTGTTTTTCTGTCGGGAATGGTATGGCGCATTGTCCGTAATAATCACTGAATTTGGGGAAATGTTTGGTATTAACTGCTGCTCTATCCACTTTCAAATAAGTCGGAGGTCATATCCTCATGATAGTCGGCACATGATTCTTTGATATTTTTGGCAGATAACAGCAAGGCATTAAGTATAAATCCATTTTCACTGCCAGCATGGAGAATAATGATTCGTTTTCCACGGTTGCATGGTGCATTTAAAATGCACTTGTTGCTGTCGTCAACCCAGCCGTACTGCACAACATCATGGGTATCATACCACGTTTCATCCAGGTAAATCAGATTTCTTTTCTGCTCTCTATAGATTTTAACTTTGTGCAAAAATTCTTGGCGCAATTCAACGATTCGAGACGACTCCATAATCACCATTCTTTTATCTAATTTTTTGTATTGAAAACCACACAGTTTTACAATACAGTGCAGTGAGTCTAAGCATTTGTAATTATAAAAATCTTCAGGATAATCTTTTAATTTATCCCGTATCATTTCCAACGTGGGCACCAAATTTTCTTTATAAAATCCGTATATTATATGACGAATATCTTCCTGAAAACCCACGTCTATTCTTTTTAATTTTTGCCCTATGCGCTTTCTGTGGAAGGAATGGTTGACTACATCTCCCCTTTTTATAACCCGATAAATGGTAGACCGACTGATTTTTGTCAGGATACAAATTCTGTTTAAAATTTGATTTTGCGAGGAATCTGGATTTTCGTTTTTCAGACAATCATACATATTTAGGATTACTCTTTGGGTCTGTTCCTCTAAATCTTTATGAAAGAATTCTGCCTGCACAGGTTCATCAACCATCTCCTCGTGGCTTGGAGCATTTTCCCAAGGTCTCCAAAGAGCCATATTTAGGACACACAAGAACAATCAACACAACAATTAAATCAACAAGTAAACTGAGTATTCAAAAGTCAAAAACACACAAACTAATAAAATCTATGAAAAAACACGGACAGACTAAAGAAAACACGTTTATTCACCGCTACACGGCACTGGCTAAACTGTTTCAATTTTCAGTAGCCACCTGCACTTGTTCGGAGCTCTGAAATACACGCTTTCTCATTGGCTATGTCCACGCATAGGCGTGCTTTACTCCACGTGGACCGGTGAAACTGCCTTTGATCTTATACTTATCTTGCTGCGAAATTTGGCTATTTTTGCAGCAGAGCGTGTTAAATATAGATATATAAAACGCACCCGGTATTTCACAGTGTTTCAAGTGACTTCAGATAGAGTATACACCGCAGTGGTATTACGTACATTATGTAGGTTTTTCTATAAAATGTCAACACAGAACTAGCTATTGTCTAACTTGATGTGAACTCGTTCTATCGCTGTACGTGTTGCCTAAACATCATGATGATTCAACTAGCAATGTTTGGATCTGATGTAATGTGACATCTACTTCAGAGATGGCATTATATTATACTATAGCTGGAAGAGACGGCAATGCTTAGGTGCATAGTGAGGATTTGTGCGCTAACAATCCGGGTTGATGATAATTCCATTGATTTCTTGTCTCAAATACACTTGAGATCTATGCAAAGCTAGAAACTGGTTGCGTATCCACTTTTCATTATTCGTGCTGGGAATTACATATGCAAATTTGCTGATGTTGAAAATGAGTGAGTTAAGAAAGAAAAGAAGAAGAAAATCCCTGGTTGGTAATGTATATCAGAACCAGCAGGTGAGAAAATATGCCACAGACAGGAACATTTATGAAACTTGAAAAAGTTATTATACTAAGTGACATATAAATCCGAACACCCAGTTTAAATGGTTTTATTTTAATAAATTTTTGTATAAGTACTTAATGAAGCATAATAAGTAAATGATAAAAATTTCAAAATGATTGCACTGCTTTAAAGCCCTTTGACCTTTAATAATGTGTGGATGCACCCTGATGTGCTACGCATCCTCCAACGCGCCTAGGCATGCTTCTGATCAGGTGGTCAATGTCCTCCTGTGGTATCTCATTCCAGGCAGCCACCAACTCCTCTCGAAGTGCTTCTAGAGTCTGAGGAGGACGTTGCAAATTGAGCAATCTCCTACCCATCATATCCCACACATGCTCAATTGGGGATAAGTCGGGAGATCTTGGTGGCCACGGTAACAATGTGACATCATTATGTTGAAAGAAGTCTATTGTGACTCTTGCAACATGTGGTCGGGCATTATCTCGTTGGAAAGTTGGATCTGCCAGGGTGTCAAGATAGGGTAAAAGATGGGGTTCTAGAACTTCGTGGATATAACGTTGCGCGTTCATGTTACCTCTGATGAAGATTAAAGGTGACCTGGAACCATAAGCTATAGCACCCCAAACCATAACTCCAACAGTGTGATGAATATGTCCTTCAACAAAAAACTGTGGATTCCTCCTTTCACCACGTCGCCTTTTAACCCTGGCACGACCATCGTGCATACCTAAACAAAATCGAGACTCGTCTTTAAAGACAATACTGTTCCATTCCTGATCCCAGAATGACCGTTGTCTGCACCACTCAAGGCGATTACGTCGGTGTTCTCGAGTTAAAGGCCGGTATGAAAACAAGCCGTCATTCGTCAGTAAACACTTCGCATGCCAATAGCTCTTCCGTGTTCTGCAAACCATTCATTTGCAATGGACCTGGTAGTGGAGAATAAGGCCAATAATCTTAGGCGGCGATCTTCACGGTCTGTTGTTCTACGGCGGCGTCCAGTGCCCTTTGCTCTTTGCGTACGGCCTTCTCGAAGCCATGCCTGACAACACCTAACCACAGTGTCTACACTTCTTTGCACTCTAACTGCAACTGCCCGAAAAGAAATTCCAGCTTCCCGAAGTCCCACTATACGGCCCCTATCAAACTCACTAAGTTGACGAAATCATACAGGTCTCCGTACTCTAGGCATCGTAACCGATCGTAAAGGATGTCAAGAACCAAAGTCCGCCAACGTTGATTCTTTACTGCGGCTGAAATATTCATTTTTAGAGCGTTAGTGAATTAAAAAAAAGCAGTATAAAAACCGGAATGTCCAACTGATAAGGCTGAAAATTTTTTCACTTGTTATTTACAGTAAGATAAATACATTCACCAACTTTTATTAAAATGAAACCATTTAAACTGGGTGTTCGGATTTATATGTCACTTAGTATACATTCATTTAAAATTATCCATTTCCAGTCATTTATATTTTATAGAAATTTAAATTGCGATGTCGAGCAAAAAATAAAAATCAGCGTCTAGATGAGAGTCACTGCGAAAATGTTTTGTGTGTGATGCATCCAATATGGCCGCAATTTCAGTCCGAATATTGCGCTTTAGGTCTTGAATTGTACTGGAACCATTCGCATACACTTTTCCTTTCAAAAATACCCATAGAAAATAGTCAAGGTGTTAAATCGCACGATCTCGGGGGCCAACTGACATCTGAATTTCGTGAAATTATGCGGTCTTGAAATTTCGTGTGCAATAAGGCGATTGTTTGGCGAGATGTGTGCGCCGTCACTCCGTCTTGATGAAACCAAAGATCGTCAGCACCAATACGATCCAATTGTGGGCACAAAAGTCTTCAAAGAAGAATGGTCAAACGATGCCACCAGCCCATAATCCGCACCAGTCACTTTTTCAGGATGGAGAGGTTGTTCATGATATTAGTGTAGATTTTCAGCCCCCCAGAATCTGCAA